TTGCCTATTCGTTCTTGTAAATCCAAAAAAATAAAATTTTTTAAATTCTAAAGAAATTTCCTCTTTCATTTGAAACCCATATTTTTATTCTAAATTGTATTGAATTTTTGAAATAGTACTTTAAAATAAGTCCAGACGTCAGAGAAGAAAAAAAATGCCACTTGAAATAAAAAAAGCAAGTTTCAAACTTATTTATTTATTATTTATTTTATTGTAGGAGAGATTGAAGCAATATTTTCGATTTAAGTTGTTGAAAAGTAATGAATATCTAAATCCCGGGACTAATCCCAGGATCCCGGGATTGTGATAACCACATCTCGAAAATCTCGGGATCGTAAAAAGTGGAAAAACTAACATACCTAGTGGTTATGTGGTTATAAATAAAATACACAATAATAATTTTTAACCAGATAATCTGATATCCGGGTAAGTGTGAACAACCTCAGCGATTTTTTTCTATTTCGGACGAAAAGAAACCGATCCGAAAGTTTTCCATTTTTGGATTTACCGACTGACAATTAATATACTACATTAGGCATATGAAATGGTTTCAATTAAAAATGTTTACTGAAAAAAATCGCCGAAAACGAAACCAAGCAAACATTTTCGCAGTTTTCGGGGTCTAGAATGGACTTCCGGTTAAAAGAATGGACTTCTGGTCTAATTATATATTTAGTTCACTTCCGGACGAGACTGGAAGTCGGTAATACGACCAAAAGATAGAGCATCCCCGACTTGGTTATTGGAATTGGTTTTCCAATTTAAAAAAAATTTCCTCCGATTTAGAAGTGGTGTATGGGTAGTCTAGGACATCCGGTATTTGGAAAATTCCAAGTCAACCGAGACAAAAAAAAATATATAAAAATTTTGGAAACCAATTTTTAATCACAGTTATAATTCGATTGACATGGAATTTTCTATATACATACAGTAATGTGAAAATTAATAGGCACACGGCATTTTTACTATTTTCGTTTTCATTTTTATTTTTTTTTTGTTTTGTTTAATACAATGTGATAATCTCGCATAACTCGAGAACGATTTGAAATTTCGGACAAGGCTCAAAAAAATTTCGCCATAAAAAGAGGGCACGACACCTCTCATACAAACATGCATATCTCTGAAAGTATTCATGGTAAAGTACTTAAGAACTTAATCTGGAAGTGTTCATGTATTCGGTAGAGTATTTGAACATGTCGTCGAGCAAACAATTTTTACGAATTTGTACGAATTATCATGATTTTTACCCAAATCGCATTCGTGCAGACCAAAAAATTATCTATCACTCAAAAACTGAGAGCGCAACGTGACAGTTCTCCTGAGAGAACGAAAACGAAAAACATATGATTGTGGCACATGGTTGTATTTTTGTAAACTATAATTTGAATAAATAAGTTCGTTAAATTTAAAAATTTATAAATTTAGTTAACTCCAATGATTTGAACTTAACTCGGCTGAAAAAAATTGTATTCGCAATCAGAATGCAATTGCAACCAGAGTCGATTTAAGAAACCCGACAGCTATTACGATAAAGAAATTGAAATGTATGTTAAAGAAAGTCAGAACAACAAGAAATATACATGTATGTATATCCTGTTTTTGTCCATTTGAAAGAATTTTAAAAATTCTATAAAAATGTATAATGTTTGAAATGCAACCGTGGACACCAGCTGGCAGAGAAACTTGCAAATGACCGCAAATTTGCGTTCATGCAGAAATTTGCAAGTTTCTCAACATTTATTTATTGATTTAGAGAGAATTTGAGAGAATTTTTTCTTACTCTCTGATATTTTGAGTGTTGGATAATTCTTGCGGTGTATTCTACAAAATGTATTGAAAATGTGCTGATATAGGGCGTTTTTGAAACGAATTCTAAAATAGGACGTTTTTGAAAAGTTTTTTGAGATAGGGCGTTTTCGAACTGGCTGCCGAGATAGGTCGATCTTCCACAGTCGAAATGCGCATGGTAAATAACTCATACTTGGCAAGTTATATAGACATTTTTGAGATCAACGATGGTCAAAGTTGAAAAAATTAAGAAAAATAGGGGATTACTAATTTTGAACCAATGAAAACTTCCAACAAGCTAAGTCCAAAAATATATTGTTATACATCATTTAAAAGATCCCTAAATCCCCTCTTTTCAAAACTGGTACGATTTTTAAAATCAGATAAAAAAAAATCAAGCTGTTAATAGATAGATAAGTGTATCAAGTACGAATATAACGGTTGTTTTGGAATAAAAACATGGAGCGTTCAGCGTTATTAATCTACATATATTATCATGCATCTCCAGTTTGTAAGAATCAAGCTATGTATTTGCATTGACGTCTTTATACAGCCCACACGCGAATTTTTTTTTTTCATGACACATTCTGTTCTTGTGTTTTGATTTGTGTAGCGTTTTGCCGATTTTACGCAATAAACTTATTTTTTAAAATAAGTATCGCACGAGATATACGAAGTATGAGTTGGCAATCGCATGGCAATAAGTTTTCATTCCAGTAAATATTGCAATATCAATAGACATAAGCACATATAAATGATAGATATGTATATAGTAAGTATTTATATGTAATATATATGTACATATGTATATGTCAGTATGTATATAGTAGATCATTTAATAAAACATACTTATGTACATTATTCATTCGTATATTTTCCACTTTATTACATATGTAAGTATGTATGTATGTACATATTCTTACATATTTGATTGCAGTGTGTATGCAACTTTGTGTTTAAAACTTTTTTTCCGATAAAAGATTATGCTTCCCCACGCTTTGTCCAGCCGAGCCACTTGCAGCTATGTTTTCTTTTTTTTTTTTTAGTTTGAGAAAACTGTTTAAAGTTAAATTATGACGCTTTCAGTTGTTGTGTGACGTAAAACTAATATTCAACTGATAAGAACTTAAACTACTCGCCGTTGTTATTTCTTTAGCATTATATTTATCATCCTTTATTTTATGCATAATGCAACAACACTACAGGCATACTTAATACATACATAAGTATGTATAAAAGAATGTATGCGATGTATGTATGTACATATGTATACGCATTTGGAACCTATCTGAGTTGAGATAAAAGAAGAAAACTTGAAGATGAACTATCAAAACATTTATTTGCATACATACATATCACTATGAAATACATACATAAATACATATGTATATGCTTACATATGCATATCGCTACCTAAAGGAGTCAAGTCCATTATTTTTTTTTTGAAAATTTAGTTTTTGATGCAGAATGGCCGGTAATACGAAACTAAATACATCGTTTTTTCGCCCCTCTTGAACAATTTAAATAAATGGACTTGGCACCTTTTCACCCTCAGGTGACACTATTTATAAATTAGGGATGTGCAATTATTTGATTTATTTATTGATTATACTAAAAATTAGTTGAGCAGTCTTTCGATTACGCAATTTAGCTCGTAATTGAAAAGTTTGATTACTCAGAACCAAAGCAAAATTAATTTAATAATTTCATAATTGTTTAATCATAAACCGATTGATAGTTGAGAAAAAGGCCTTAAGTAAGCTTATTCTAAAAAGGGTTCAAAAAGGACGAGGTTATCAGTTATCGCTTAACTTTGGCGCGATTTCGATAAATGTTTTCTTATCGGAAAGATCGGGTCTCAATGACCACACCATACTAATTTTATTTAGGTCCGATCATTGAATCATGAAGAAATTAAGAGTCTGATGATTTTTATATTAGAATTGAAGTCGGTTGTGTTTTTTGCTTAAAAATTACTTTTTAGGAATTTATACATATAAACCATATCTCTTTAAAATACAGTAGACGCTCGCAAATTAGACCCACTTTGTTTCTAAGGTAATTCTAATTTCTGAAATATGTATTCTACTTTCTGGGCCTTTTTTTACTCTAATTCTAATTTCTGGAAGATTCGAATTTCTGAGATTTCTAATTTGTGAGCGTCTACTGCATTCACAATATTTTATAAGCTAAAATTTGCTAGTTATTTTTTATGAGAATATCATTCTTTAACAAAATTATATAAAGTAAGGTTTCAAGCTTTACACAAAATTAAGGAAAATTCAAAAAATTTTCAACTTTTTAATCAGATTATTTTGAATTTCAAGTACGGAGTTTTTAAAAAAATCTGATTTAGCTTGCAAATATTTAAAAAAGATATGGTGTATCAATATTTTTGTTGTTGAGCGCTGTATGTATATATCGCACACTAAATCCGAAGCAGTCACATCTCAAAAAAGCTCAAATGTTCAGGACAGCGGCAAAACAAAAACAATCTTATTAGATAGTATTTTTCCAGTGAAAGAAGATAGTGACGAACAATTAATTTTAGTGGATGTTAGAAAATTTGGTCTGTGAAGTGTTTTAAGGAAAAATTGATTTCGAAAAATTTTTAATTGTGACTGTTTTCGATTTAGGGTGCGATATGAAGACAAAAATTCGATTAGAATGAATACCTATAGTGGAGTCAGATTTAATCGCAATTTTTTATCATATTTGAAAAGCCGTAGTAAAATTTCCTGATTAATATTTTTGCACAACATTTTAACCCTCTATCTACATACAATTTATAATGAGCTTACATCTGCTTCTCAAAAATAAGTGTCAGAGGTGCATTTTATGGTTGGATTTAAGGGGTCAAAATATTTTACGAAAAAAATTCTCGTAAATTTTACTTAAGATGCCCGTATAAAAAGTATAAACATGAACCCACTGTAAAAAAATTGTGATGAGGTGGAGCAAAATCCAGTTAGGATAGATACTGGCTTTTGGACCGTATAACGTTGAAATTATTCCCTTGTGTAGTATTTCGGCTAGCTTAAATGATCGAATAATGGCCCAGCCCTAATGTAAATATTACTATTATAATTTTACCCAATTATTTACTTAATTTTATGATATTGGATTTTCAATGTTTAAATGTATGTACATATGTATGTATATTTATATATGTTTGTATGCAGTTATACAAATTATTACCCCATCGTACTCACCTTGCATTTCATCAGCGCGATCGATTTTCATACCCTGTTGTGCAACCGCAGCCAAACCGATCGCATATTCCCGATCGCACTTGGCTTTCAATTGTATGGACCGCTTCATGGTCTCCATGAGGCGCAGTTCGGCATCTTGGCGCACGATTAATGCCTCGTGCGCGGCACGGCCCTGTAGGGCCGATGAAAAACCCATTCTTGTTTCGTTTTTATGCTATAGTTCTGGTTTTTGTTAAATTTTTTCACAATTTCTGTTTTCTTAAAAAATAATTATTTTTTTAAGTTCGAATTGGATGAGTATTTTTTTTTTAAGTTTTAATTTTTGCGTCACACGTTTTTCAATTAAGTTAAGTTAATTCATATATGCATTATATATATTACCACAAATGTTGTACCGATTTATTTGTTTCACATTTTTTCAGCGATTTTTGTAATTTTTTCTGTAACCAATTATTTTTTTTGAGGCTATGAATGATAAAGTAGGGCATTCAAATCAATTTAAACTTGAACTCTTCACACTTAGCTGTTAATTTATTAATATTATTTTGGTCAGTTTACCGCTTTTGTATTTGCATTTTTTGGAATATATCCGATGTCAAATAGCATTATCAAGTTATAGTATAATTACAATAAAATACTCAAAAAATTTTACGAAATAAATGAAGTGAAGATAACGAAATAATAATGCGCGATATCAAAGAGCTAATATAAAAAAAATGAAATATTTAAAAAATTGCGAAAGAAAATCAAAAAGAGAAATAACTATCCCAAAATATGTATGTACATATGTGCATTAGGATGTCTCACCAAAAAAAATCGCCAGTTTTCCCCGGTATTATAAAACTTATTGGGGCATATTCTTAGTCGTAATAAAGTCGACACTAAATTTAATAGCAGCTTTTTTGTCAGACATTCCATTGAAGATATTAAAAATGTTCATTGCTTTAGAAAGCCAGTACGGATTTTTATTTTATTTTTGTATGGAGAGTTATCCACCCTAATGTACTTATTTTGAAACAATAAAAAACAGGAAAATTTCGCTAAAGAGTAAGGCCAAAATTTTAATGTATTTACATATATATGTATGTATAAACATGGGTAGATTATATTTGCGTGTATATGTACATATGTATGTATTCGTACATTTAGTCGACTTTCACATTTTTTTTCTGCTGATTTGCATTATTTTCTGCTTATGCTTCGAAGAATATTTCGACACTTCATTCCATTTTGTTTCGTTTAATTTCAGCTCTCTTAACATTTTACTTTCTTGCGTTTCTGCCGTGTCAATAATATGAACTTTACTTGCTGTGGTTACTTTCGACACACTCTACATACATACGTAAGGCATATTTATTGGCCAAGTCAGTGGCTGGAGCGTATTCGAGTGGGGAAACACATGGCACTTTGTAAATTTGCGAACAATTTTACGCTAAAGCATATTGCAAAATATTTAGTAATACTTTTGAGTGAATGAAGCAACAGCAAAGAGTATGCAAAGTGATTAGCTTTTGAAATATTTGAGTGCCGCGAAATACAACAAAATTATCTGTTGCGTTAAAGTAATTAGTTGGCACAAATGATGTTTTTCAAAAAAATAAATAAATAAAATAAAAATTTAGGGCTACTCCAATAAATGATTTTTAATAATACTAAAATTCTAAATAAGTATTCTATATAGTTAAAATAATTTAATATTTCAATTTACTTTTAATGTGGTAACACATATAAGCGGATTCTGATACATTTTGTCTTATCCAAAAGTTTCTTTTTATTTTTAGCTCTATCTTCAAGGTTTGTTGACTAAAAAGTCTAATCCGAGACCTTAAGTCAAGGTTCATAATAGAGTTTTTGGAAACTTTGCCTTGCATATCGTCGTCATCAACACTTTTTTTTTAGAACATTCAGTGAATTGCCTTTCTAACACTTACTCGGACCAGTGATCGAATGCTAAGAGGTCACAATTGAATCATTTGAAACGAACTGAATCAAACCGCACTTCAGATTGGATTACTAACGGTTCCGGCATAGGCAAACATATATCGAAATTATTCGAATCATTGATTTGAAACAAACTGATTTTTGGAGTGGTCTACAGCTCTTCTATATCATGCTTTTTCGAAAATGCGTTTTTTACATATTACTTTAATATTCCCTGACATAAAACTACTTACTTAAATTCGAAATGTTATCTTTCAAAACGTTTTAACAAATTTGGGGCTGTAAACAATAGGTTATATGTAGTCGTTATTCTGGGTATGCAGTTAAAGTTGCAACGCTATACTCAACTCTCATACTCTGGACAACGTGAGCAAGGCATGTGCTAGATGTGTTAACCAGTCCGAATGGAGACTTGGGTCATGGCAGAAAGAGAGGAAAGCTTCGGTGGGGCCACTCAAACTTATTCGGCGTATGGGCCCACTGAAGTCTGCAGCGTTTGCTCACTCGTAGGTGCGGCTGCAAGCGGCTGTCTTTCTTGGAACAAGCAGCAACAATGTCTACCTGGAGATGATGGAACAAGTGGTTCGCCACATAAACGTGTATCTGGTTGAAAAACCACAAAATCCTAGCATTGGGTCGGACGCTGGGTTTGCGACCCGCTACCCAAAAACAACTTCCAACGAAAAGACAGAAATGTTAGTTTAAAAAGTTTTTTTATTTTTCGAAAAGCTCCTTTTGCATTATTGATTACGATATATAATATGGTGGGGATATATAACTATTGACCACACGATGTAGACTCTGGACTTTTCCTTTAATATTTCTGATGTGTGTGACCGATACTGATAGACCTTCCTGGATAGAGGTATATTCCAGAAGAAGAAAAAATAAGTAAAAAGCCTTGGGGCTCCAATGAAACGGTTCATATTCCGCGGCTGGCTTCTGCAGAGACTCGACCTAGACGAGGAGAGAATAGCGGTAATGCAGCTTAAAAACAAACGGAGTCGAGAATATAACGACTGAGCTATTAGTGTGACGTCCAAACCAACAAATCAATGATGGACCAGATTTTCACAACGCGTTAAATTCTGAAAACAAACCTTATATGTATACACAATTATGCATACAATTTCCTTGATCTTAAAGCCGATTTTTATAGTACGACGAAAAAATCTGAAACCTGGAGGAGCCTGAACCAATGGGTTATTTATTTATATAGGAATTTTAAGTGGTCCAAGCTCTACTGGAATACGGAAGTTGCTAAGGTTCATAGACTCCTTGAACTAGTTAAAGTAGGAATGGGAGTTTTGAATCACAAAGAACTGGTATCACAAAGAACCCTTCACTGTGCCTAGGTGTGCTGACCTTCCTCTAAGTTCAGCATACACTAAACCCTAACCATTGTATAGGGATGTTTATCTCCCTCTAAATTGGTAAGGGGCTCTCTGGACCCCAAACAAGGCGAGTCATATTCAAGCGAATTTATCAATCTGATACACACCAAAATAATAATGCAAAAAGCTCCTTAAGACCAGTGTCGTTAGTGAAGCATATTCCGGCAAATAGCCAAAAAAGGTATAGTCAAGCGTTGGACGAGGACAAGTCAAAGTACCTCGCAACAACACACAAAGAGACTTCGAGCCTTAAGAAACAAGTCGCTGTGGGCAGTTATAACTTGACAGTAATGAAGGTCTTTCTGCTACCTAGTTCAAGTATTAACAGCAACAACAATGTCTGCCTGGAGATGAAATCGAAGAGTAACAACTTACTGTCATCAGGTGCTACTTTGGTCTCGGTAGACAATTGAAAAGCAGACAGCTCTCTCTCACGCTTCACAAGTTTCTCATTATGCACTTTTTTTTTATGTGGCATAGAAGCATGGACGATATCAAAAATAAAAAGGCTTTGGGTGTTTTCGAGACAACTGTGGTACGTAAGGTATTTGGCCCTCTACGCGTGGGCGGCGGGTTTCGCCGAAGACGACATGACGAACTATTTAATGAACGAAGCATTTTAATAGGCGCTAATTCTCTATATATGGATGATAATAGTCCGGGGCAAAGATACTTCGATTCGGCACCCCGAAAGCAAGGGCGCCCATGAACACAATGGATCAAGTGGATAAGAAACAGTCTACATTTACATAGTAAGAGTAACTAGCGAAATTTCGCAGTGCATACAAGCTATAAGTGACACGTTTTGGGCTCGACCGGTATTTATTCTTTATTTTTTGTCATATTAAGATTCAAAAAAAAATTGTCTTCAACTTTTTTAGATGAGAAGTTTTGCATGCCAAAGTTGCTCGAAAAAAGCAACTAAACATGTATGGATAAGTTTTTCAAAATTTAGTTAACGGTATTTTACGGTAAACGCTAGATGAAATGTATAACTTAAACAAAATTAGGTGTACAAGTTTTTCATCACTGCTGATGCTTGTGTTCAAATGATGTACATAGTACATATGCATGTATTTATGAGCAGATATTCCAAATCGTCCTCAACTTCACTTGAACTCTATACCTTTTTCAACGTGTTGATATGGCTACAATTGTTGTTGTTATTATGCATTATTATTATTACTAGTGTTCGCCCAGCGGTTGAAATTCAACCGATAAAATTAAGGATAGTTTATGTAAGTTGAATGAGCTAAAATAACATTAGTTGGAATGGGTTAAGTGGAGGGGAGTTTAGCTTAGTACTTGGCATAACATAACATAAC